AGGGCCACTGATGTGGTAAAGTGGGCTAAACCACTGTCTGCTTTGCCAGCATCCCATATGGGCCCTGGTTCGCGTCCTGGCTGCTCAGCTTTTTTCTTTCTTTCGTTCTTTTAATTGGAAAGGCAGTATCACAGAGAGGAGAGACAGAGAAAAAGATCTTCCAATCTCTGATTCACTCCCCAAATCACTGCAATGGCCAGAGCTGAGTCCATCAGGAGCCAGAAGCCAGGAACCAGGAACTGCTTGTGGGTCTCCCACGTGGGTGCAGGGTCCCAGGGTTTTAGGCCACCCCCCCTACCCCCCACACACACTGCTTTCCCAGGCCACAATCAGGGAGCTGGATGGGAAGTGGAGTTGCCAGGATTAGAACCGGTGCCCATATGGGATCCTGGTGCTTGCCATGGAAAGGCTAGCCAATTGAGCCATCGTGCCAGGCCTGTGGCTGCTCCTTTCTGTCCCAGCCCCTTACTATTGTGCCTGTGAAAGCAACGGAGAATGGCCCACGTGCTTGGGCCCCTGCACCCGCGTGGGAGACCCGGATGGTCCTCCTGGCTTTGGCCTGCCCCTGCTCCAGCAGCTGGAATCATTCGGGGAGTGAATCCTGTCGGCAGCTCTGCCTGTCAAGTTAAAAAATAAATAAATAAGATAAATACACATAAAAAGTTTTTTTTTTCTTTTAATAATGCCAGCTTGGGGTAAAGATTGCCTAAGGAGAAATGTTGTGGACATTGGGAGTAAAGATTTTATCCTTTTTGGAGGAACGCACAGAAATGCCTTGTAAGCCATGCTGAGCAGTTAGTTCCACACTTTGTGAGAACTTGTTGAGTGATGATGCGTCTTCCCACGATGCAGTTGCAATCTCGAATTGTCTTAAGGATGACAGGCAGCTTGCGGGCCAGCTTTGTGCCTCCTGGAGTGAGGGGCAGCAACCGCAAGGGGGCGCTTTGTGGTAAACACGGTCGGCGCTGTCGTTCTGGTACCCAGTCCCTTATCAGAGGACCGGATGGCAGACAGGGCCCACCCATCTGCCGGCTGCCTCTCCACATGCCCACAGTGGTTGAAGACTCGGCTCCCCCACCCCACCTTGATCTGTCCCTGCACCACCAGCAGGCTGGAGCCACGCTCCGAGCCACGCACCTCCCTGTGGGATGCAGGCAACGGTAACCCCGTGTGTGTCAGGTGTCCGTAGAGTGGAAAACGCGCCCGAGTTCCTAGCATGTCTACTAGGGCATTCTTACTCGTGACAGAGCAGTGTTTGGGAAACTGGCTTGGGTTCTGTGTGGGTACAGGCACGCGGAGCTCCTCAGTGCCCTCTGGAGCTCTTACCAACCAGCATTGGTTTGGCGCCTTCTTGAGTGATGCTGCGTGAAGCCCTGCCCACTACAGAGCTACATTTGCATAGAGTAATGCATATTCAGCAGCACCTTTCAATCTTTGTTTAATCCCCATCAAAACAGTACGCACTTAGGGAGTGCCCTCCTGAGAAAGCCTGTGTGTGTGTGTGTGTGTGTGTGTGTGGCAGTACCTCGCAGTGTCTCGGGGTCACCACTGAAGTTTGGGGTGGCCTGGGTCCTGAGGCTGACCCCACATGTCACCAAGGCAAAATCTTGTCAACCTTGCCAAGCCTCTTTTCCTACTCCTGGTCTGGAGAGGGTTAACACTGTGGCACAGCGGGTTACTCCGCTGCCGCCTTGCGATGTCAGCATCCCATATGAGCACTGTTTTGAGACCCAGCTGCCGCACTTTCTTTTTTTTTTTAAGATTGGTTTTATTTTTATTGTAAAATCAGATATACGGAGAAGAGGAGAGACAGGGAGGAAGATCTTCCGTCTGATGATTCACTCCCCAAGTGACCGCCAACAGCAGGTGCTGAGCTGATCCGAAGCCAAGAGCCGGGAACTTCCTCCAGGTCTCCCACGCGGGTGCAGGGTCCCAAGGCTTTGGGCCGTCCTCCACTGCTTTCCCAGGCCACAGGCAGGGAGCTGGATGAGAAGCAGGGCAGCCGGGATTAGAATTGGTGCCCCTATGGGATCCTGGCATGTGCAAGGCGAGGACTTTAGCTGCTAGGCCACCGTGCTGGGCCCAGCTGCTTCACTCTCATTCCAGCTCCCTGCTCTTGCACCTGGGAAACCAGTGGCAGATGGCCCAAGTGCTTAGACCCCTGCCACCCATGTGGGACACCTCCACGGAGCTCTAAGGCTTTAGCCTGGCCTGACCCTGGCTATTGCTACAGATGGAATGTCTGCCTTTCAAATGGATAAATCTTAAGTCAGGACAGCTACACACTGTGTCTACCGGATTTGAGGAGGCACCACTTCCAAGCCCAAGATGGCCCATACCATTCGCATCCTTTAGGTGGTCTCCCTGAGCTTCGCGGCTGCTCCCAGCACACACAGAACCCTCTCTTGGCTGTTGAAACACACTCTTTCCCTCTGGTGCAAAGATGAGTGTGTCCCTGCAAAGTTGGGGTGTTTTTTTGGAGGAGGGAGAGATGGTGCAGACGATGCAGTATTTGTCCCTGAAACAGTTGAAAAGTAATGGGATAATAGGAGCTAAAGAATCTTTAGCTGGAAATGCGTGAATTGCAGGTAGAAGCATTCCACCTGTCATTTTACTGGGGGTGTCTGGGTACCCCCCCCCCCAATCACTGCTAAGACCTCGAGTTTGCTTCTCAGGCACTTCTTGACTTTACACAGCACGGGGGGCAAGACCTGAGCCAGCCCCACGGGAGAGGGCAATGACTGACACTGGTCACGTGGGATCACTGACATCTTTGCATTTTATTTATTTTTATTCAAAAGGCAGATTTTTTATAGCGAGAGAGAGGAGAGACAGAGAAAGGTCTTCCATCCGTTGCTTCACTCCCCAAATGGCCACAATGATGGGAGCTAAACTGAGCTGATCTGAAGCCAGGAGCCAGGCCTCCCACACGGGTGCAGGGTCCCAAGGCCTTGGACTGTACTCTGTTGCTTTCCCATGCCATAAGCAGGGACCTGGATGGACATCAACTGGTGCTCAGATGGGATGCCTGGACCACTGTGCCAGCCCCATGGATAGGAATGTTTAGAATGAACATTCACTTTGTAAGAAGATCTAAGGCACTACCTAATCCTTGGACGAGCCCGCTGGCCGCAGTGAGGCGAAGGTGTAGCAGTCGGAGCGGAAGCTTGGGCTTGTAGCAGCTTTTTCACTTCTAATCCTGTGCTGTGTTCACCATGCCTTCCATACACACGCCTTTAGGAAAAAGCCTGGCTTCCCAGGGCTTCTCAGTGGCACAACATTTAGGCTTTGCCCTCCACTAAAGGGTTAGAAGAGAAAGAGAACGGAGAGGGGACCCCCTGAATGACCGCTCCTGTCCCTCCCTTCTTCCACAGCGGAACAGAGCCAAGATCCGAGCTGGGGGCTTCCCTTGCACAGCATGGGGAGGGAAGCTGCAGGATGTCTTGGTTTCACAAATCTGATCTTTTAATCAAGAGAGCCCCTTTCTTTGGAAACACAGTGGTCGGGTCATCAGGGAGTCCGGGAGCACTCCCCTTTCCCGAGTGCAGGCGTGGGTTCAGATTCCCAAAGTCCAAAGTGGGCATGCCATAGCAAAGAGGAGTTGGGGAGGCACGTGTGGGCGGGCGGGCGGTGCTTCAGCCTAGATCATCCTATGGAACTGTAAGCAAGGCAGTGTCTGAGAGGTACCCTCCACACACACACACACACACACACACACACACACACACACACACACACACACACACACACACACACACACCCCACTACTGCCAGTTGGGGCAGAGGAAGGGGGGAAGGAAAATTGGGCTACACTGACCGCTTTGGGAGCTGGAGCCCCTCCAGGCACCAGCTGCGTTTATCATCTGCCCAGTGTAGACATCGCAGGGCTCCTGGCTCAACACCCCTTTGAAAACACCAGTTCCCCAGAGCATTCTCTCTGCCCAGGCAGACAGGTTCTTCTGAGCTGTAGGACTCCTCAATGCCAGGGTGACAGGAAGTTCCGCACTTTTTTTTTTCTGAATCAGATTGGTTGGATGGGTTGGTTGGTTTTTCTTGTAATTCTAAAACATTCCCCTGAAATGCATTTTAGCTTTTCCAACCAGCCACAAAAAAAAATAAATAAATAAATAAAGTCATCGAGGCTTTCTTCATCACTTCTGATCTTTCCAAGCTCCCTTCCTGGAAGTCTGGGGGATGGGAGCAACCCTTCAGGCTAACCCAGAATCCACTGCCTGAGGCTCACCCGGTGTGCTGGTGGCTGGACAGTACAAATGGACCTGCTTCGGCTGGGTACTTTAAAAGTACCCAGTTCTCTGACCTTGAGAACTGCACAGCCCACACACTCACCCTTCCATCCCAAGAAGAGATAAGGAACTGACCCCGTGCCATCTTCCGCCCAGAGAAGCTCCAGACAATACACAGCGTGCCTGGTGCGGGAAGCAGACACCAGACCCACAGTTTCCACTTTCATTCACTGACTAAGCTTCAGTGTGCAAAGTAAAGTCGGCCAGCTGGGGCAGCCCTCCCCGCCGCCAGCCCCCAGAGGGCTCATCAGCAATTAAGATGCCTGCTTGGGAGTGCTGCACCTGCTAGAAGAGGACCGGTCGGGGTTCCAGCCATTTTGCTTCTGTGCCTGGAAGGCAAAGCAGAGATGGTCCATGTTCTTAAGTTCCTGCTGCTGCCCGTGCGAGACTCGGATGGAGTTCTGGCCCGCCCTGGTGGTTGTGGCATTTGGGGGCGGGGGGGGGAGATGGCAGGGGAATAAATCAGTCTTTGCAAAGTAGAAAATACTTTGAAAGGGGAGAATGTACCAGTGAAACAGAGCCAGAGACCTAGGTAGTGGAACAATATTTACCCAACAACCGTGTCCAGCCCCGGGTTCTGCAAGAGGAACAGGCTAGGGACCTATCGCTTTTGCAACAGGGCAGTTGTGTCAGAGGAGGCTGACCCTGATTCAGTCCCTCCTTCCTAGTAGGGCTCACACACTTTTGTTTTTCCCCCTCCCTTTCAGGCAGTAAGTCCTGTAACCCAAGCAGCGGAAAGAAAAGATCCACACCTTCCCCCAAGGAAGATGAATCTAGTGTCAGGCTCAATTAGGTCCCATTGTGACGGCTCTCCGCAAAGGAACAATGCTGCTTCTGTCATCTGCTCCGGCCAGAGAGCTTGGAAACTCATCTACAGACAAACCTGGGTCCCAGCCCTCTTCCTGCAAAGAGGGTCGACTCCAGAACATTCCAGACCCACTCTCTCCACCTTGTGCTCACACCAGATGCGGTTTTTGCTTAAAAAAAAGTCACCATACCAACCAGGCAGTTCACCCTCCGAGGGTCCAGAGCCCAACCTCGGGGTGCCAGACCAGTGAACACTCTCAGCTAGCTGTTTGATATTCCTTTATCTGACCCAGATTCCAAACTGTGAGCCCTGGCCGGAGGAGGCCTTGGAGGCCCAGGCTCTGCAGGAAAAGTGCTTAAAATATAAATGTGCCAAACTCCTGGCCAGGCTTCCCAGGAGAGCGCTCCTCGCTCCTCGGTGGCCAGGCCTGGAGGGGAATGTTAAAAAGGGGGCTGGAGCAGCCCTCCTCCTGCCCGCCGGGACCCTCGCTCCCGCGGTGACATCACGCACGCTTGACTGCGCGGGGGCCCTCCCGGCCAGGACAGTTCTGGCATGCAACTTTCCCAAACAATGGCTGCAGCCCCTTGCAACCTCGTGCCCTCCTCTGCACGCCCATTCTGCATGCGGACAGACCCACCTGGCTAGCCCACTTCCACACCTCGCCCCAAGCGAGGCCTCATTTGTACCCACGGGAGGAGGGGAGGGGGAAAATGGCCACTGGGGCAAATTGCGACTCTTAAAAACAAAAAATCTTTTTCTCTTAAAAGTTTCATTTTGATTAGACTCTTCAAATGCCCATGTTGTTGACGGTTTAAAACAAACAAACAAAAAAGTTAAAAATCTCTAATCACACTTCTAGAAACAAAACATTTTGGTGTCAGTCGTGAGCGTCCACAGAATGGAAGTTGAACTGTGAGCTTGCCCACCCCAGAGGGTGCACCAAACCCCACACCCCACCGCTTTTCCCGTCAGCACCGCCCGCTTCGCTGGGACCCCCCACTTTGCTGGGACCCCCCTGCTTCGGTGTGACCCCCCCCTCGCTTCTTTCCAAAGAATTCACAGATACAAGGGTGTTTTTTTTTTTTGTGGGTTTTTTTTTGTGTGTGTTTTTTTTTTTCAAAAACATACTTCATATTTCCTCTTTATTATATAAATATCAGTTTAACCTTTTTTTTTAACTGTAAGAATATAAACGTTTTTAAGAGGGTCTTTGTTATTATTTATACAAATTCACAAACAGTACAATTACTTGATAAAGGTCTCTGGGTTTCTTTAACTCCATGGTCTCGCGTGATGCTGTTGGAGGGTTCTAAAAAAATAGACAGACAAAACCAACAAAAATATACATCCTACTTAAAAGCGATATTTTTTAAAGCCACAAGTCCCAACCCCCCCCCCGCCGACCCCCTCCCCGCCAAAATAAAGTCATCTAAACCTCCATTTAGAAACAAATTTTTTTTTTTTTAAACCCACGAACTCCCATTTTCTGAACAGAGCCCAGATAAGATGTGAGTTGGTCTCCTTGCCCTTCCCGGGGGAGCTCGCTGCTCGGCTCCCGTGCCCTTTGTGGGAAACGTGGCAGAGGGGTGAGGGCAGGGCACAATTTGCATATATAGTCACCATCTTCAAGCCACAGTCTGCATCGCCAGCCAACAGAAAAGCCGTGAGACTCGGCTCTCCCACACACATCTTTGTGCTATAAATTAAAAAGTCAAGGTTGAAACACACAGTTGGGTCCTCATAGCCCAGGGTATAAAAGAGCAAAGGGGAATGTTAGCCAGGCAAGCGGACGCCGGGGGACCCCCCCCCATGGATGGAGGTTGGGAAGGAGCCGGAACGCAGGAACCCAACGGGCATCTTTCCAGTCTAGGCACACAACTGTTTCTGAGTCGCCAAGATTTCTCTCCTGTAGAATTCCGGGGCTTCAGAGGAAAAAGTAAACGCAAACGAGGTAGCCAGACGTATATATATATGTATATATATATATATATAACATATATGGAATATATATAGGATATATTCAGCAGAAAAAAAAAAAAGGGACCATGATTTCAAATTTCTTGAAAACAGTTTTTTAAAAACAGAAAACAAAAATGCGATGGGTCTGAGGAGCCGAGGACTGCGAAAGAAGCCGTGAGACCAAGTGGAAGGAACTAGAAAAGGCTGCTGCGGTCGGGTTTGCTTTTATACATTGCAAAAAAAAAAAAAAAAAAAAAAAAAAAAGTCACAGTATTCAAATGAAAACAGCGTCAGTGAAGGCCGACATCTTGCCCGCCCCCCTCCAACTCCTGGGGCAGCCAGGACTCAGCCCTGCCCCCCAACTCCCAAAGCAGCTGGGATACAGTAGTTCCATCAGTCCTCCAGGCCCCCCCTCCTGGGGAGGAGTGGGTGGGCAAAGAGCGAGTCCGCCTCCCCCCCTTCCACGGGGCAGAGGAGTGGGTGGTGATGCCGGGGGCGGGGGGCACCCTCGATGCCAGGGGAAGGGGAGGAGGGAAGAGAACCCGGGGCCTGAGGCTGCCCACCCGGCCCCGTCTCCTCCACTGCCAACATGCGTCGCGTGCCGGTGCCCGTGGGTGCAGAGGGGCGCCGGGGCGGCCGCCCTCACCTGACCTTCTCACTCTCCGTCATCTGCCAGAGTCCCAGGTTGAGTACCTTGAGGCAGGGCAGCTGCGTGATGCGCTCCAGCCCCCGCTTGGTGATTCGCGTGCAGCCGTACAGGTCGATGCCCGTGAGCTGGCTCAGGTGCTCCGCGATCAGCTCCAGGCCCTTGTCCGTGATGCGCACACACTGTCCGATGTTGAGCGTGCGCAGCCCGTGCATCTGGCGCACCATGCGGTTGATGCCATCATCACTGATGTGGCAGGAGCAGAGGGAGAGAGACTTGAGGCCGTCCAGCCCCTGGGCTATGTAAGCCAGACTCTGGTCCCCCACCTTGTCGCAGAAGGACACGTCCAGCCCCGAGAGGCGCAGGCTGCCCATGGCCAGGTGCATGATGCCCGTGTCACTGATATTGTCGCAGGAGCGTAGGTTCAGGCTTCGCAGGCTGCCCATGTGCGACAGGTGCAAGAGGCCCGCGTCAGAGATGCCGCCGCAGAAGCTGAGGTTCAGCAGCCTCAGGCCCGTGAGGCCGCGGGAGATGTGCTTGAGCGAGAGATCTGTGAGCTTCTGGCAGTCCTGCAGCGTGAGCTGCTCCAGGCCCAGGCAGCCCTCGGCCGCGCTGCGCGTCATGCCGGCCAGGTGCCCGATGCCCACGTCCGAGAGGTGGCGGCAGCTGCGGAGGTTAAGGCTCTTGAGGCGCTGCAGCCCCCACGCGATGAGCAGCAGGCCCGTGTTGGTGATGTTGCTGCAGCCGCCCAGCTCCAGCACCTCCAGGCCCTTGAGGTACTGGGCGATGCGGCCCAGGCTGCTGTCGGTGATCTGTTTGCAGAGGCTCAGGTTGAGGGCGCGCAGGGAGCCGATCTCCTGCACGAACGCGTGACCCAGCCCGTTGTCGGTGAGGTTGTAGCAGCCGCTCAGGTTGAGGCTTTCGATGTTGGCCATGCCCTGGATCACGTAGCTGAGGCTGCGGCGGAGGCTCAGGATCTGCACTCGCCGGATGCCCCGGGCCTGCAGGCTGGGGAACAGCGACGGGTTGGCCCGGCGCAGGTGCAGCTTGGCCTCCACCCCCCGCCACACCGACTTGTGGTAGGCGGCGTCCCGCCAGGCCGCGCACACCTGCGCCGCGCGCCCCTTGTCCCGGACGTCCAGGTAGCCGAAGATCATGGCCAAGAGCTCGGGAAACAAGCACGAGATGTGGGTCTCCATCTTCTTCCTCCTCCTCCTCCTCCTCCCCCACCCCGGGCCTTGCTCGGGGGAGGAGGAGGCGCGGGTCCCCGGACGCTGCTGCTGCTGCTGCTGCCCGGGAGAGGAGAGCACAGAGGGCAGCTTCTCACTCCGGCCGCCGCCGCTGCAGCCTCGGGCCCAAACGGACGGCCCCTCTCCGCCTTCCGGCTCCGGCGGCCGCCGCTCCTCCTCCTCCTGCTGCTGCTGCTGCTGCTGCTCCGTCCGTCCTTCCTTCCTTCCTGCCGGGCTTCGCCTCCGCGCCCTGCCCTGCCCTGCGGCCCCGGGCTCGGCTCGGCGTTCACATCCCGGCCGGGCAGAGCGCCTCACACGCGCCGTCCCCGAGCGCCCCGGTGCGCCTCGGCCGCCGCTCTCCGCCACGCCGCGCGCGGGCCGCGCAGCACCCGGGCCCGGTGCGCATCCTCCTCCTCCTCCTCCTCCGCCGCGGGCCCGGCCGGCAGCCCCCGGAGGGCCGGGCTCCCAGGACGCTTCCTGCCGCTGCCGCCCTTTGTCTCTCGGCTCGGCTTTTCAAACCTCCCCAGCCCCCGGGCCGCCCGCACTCGGCCGCCCGGGCGGGGGGACCAGGACGGCCAATCCGGGCCGCCGGCGGCAGCGGCAGCACGGCCGGCCGCGCGTCCCCCGCTCGTCCCCCGCTTGTCCCCGGCGCTCCGGCCCGCGCGCCTCGCCCTGCGCGCCTCCCGCGCCCCCGCCGCCCGCCGCCCGCCGCCCGCCGCCCGTCCGTCCGTCCGCCCGCCCGCGCGCAGCAGCTCGGCAGCCGCCGGCTCCGGGAGCGACGATGGCGCGGCCCGACGCGGACCCGGGGCCGAGCCGGCGGCCGCAGCGCGTGCGAGCGTGCGGAGCAGGCCCCGTTCGAGAACGCGGCGCCGCGGCGCTCGGGCCTCCTGCCGCCGGCTCCCCCCCGCGCCGCGCCGCGCGATGGTACGGCCCTGCGCTGCCGGAACTGTCGGCGCCGTTGCCCGGGAGACCGAGCGCTCCGGCCCCGCCCCTGACGCTTAACCCTGTCGGTGCCGGGGAGCCGCTGTCCGCGCGCGCCCGCCGCCTCCTCCTCCTCCTCCTCCTCCTCCGCCACGCCCGGCCCTCTTCCTTCTCTCTCTTTTTTATTCTTCACTTTATTTACTCTCATGATTTCGGACTTCACTTCAGCCCTTCTCCCGGACTCATTCCTGTGAGACTCGCTCCCAAGTCCTCACCCAGTCCCACCAGCGCCCCCAAGTTTGATCTTTCCTCAGTCTCCATCGTGGAAAATGCTTGGCCTTGCCCGCTCCAGCCCCCATTTCTAGAACTCTCTAGAATGATTCGAGACACAACTTCCCCAGTCTGCCATCTTCCGGCTGTCCCTGTTTCCTTCCGGCCTTGGAACTTGCTCGACTTCCGTGCTTCTCGGAAGATGTATTTTAGATTGGATTGCAAAGGCAGATTTACAGAGAGAAGGCGAGACAGAGAGATCTTCCATCTGCTGGTTCACTCCCTAAACGGCTGCAGTGGCCCGAGCGAGCTGCGCCGATCTGAAGCCAGGAGCCAGGAATTTCCTCCAGGTCTCCCACGCAGGTGCAGGGTCCCAAGGCAGCCAGGATACAAACTGGCGCCCATATGGGATCCTGGTGTGTGCAAGGTGAGCACTTTAGCTACTAGGCCACCGCACCGGGCCCGGAGCACGGTTCTTAGTCCCAGCTCTTCCTGGAAGTCCCGTGTGATTGTCATGATGTCGGCATCCAAATCCCAACCACCCCAGTGCACCTTCACCCACTCAGCACAAAGCAAGGGGGTGGGAGAGTTCCATCTTAGGGCACTGGCTTGTAGGGAAAGCTATGGACCTCCAAGGCAAAGAAACCCAACCTTGCTTCTCCAAGATCCCTAGCTCTTTAGGTTTTGTTTTTTTCTGTTTTTAAGGATTTATTTTTCTGTGTTTAAAGTCAGAGATGGCCAGCGTTGTCACATTGCAAGTTAAGCTGCCATCTGCGAGGTGATTCTAAGCCTGGCTGCTCTGCTTCTGCTCCAGCTCCCTGCTAATGCTCCTGGGAAAGCAGCAGCAGATGGCCCCTGTTCAAATAAATAAGTAAATAATGAATAAATCCTAGTGGTGGGTGCCGTGGCATATTAGGTCAAGCCTCCGCCTGAAGTGCCAGCATCCCACTGAGTGCTGGTTCAAGTCCTGGCTGCTCCACGTCTGATCCAGCTCTGTGTTAGTGCTCTTGGGGAAGCAATGGAACATGGCCCAAGTCTTTGGGCACCTGCACAAGTGTGGGAAACCCCAAAGAAGCCCCGTTTGGAAGTGCACAAGTGGATGGAAGATCTCTCTGCCTTTCCTTCTTTCTCTATAATTCTACTTTTAAAATAAAGATACAGGCCCTGCGCGGTGGCCTAGCAGCAAAAGTCCTTGCCTTGCATATACCAGGATCTCAAATGAGCGCTGGTTCATGTCCCGGCAGCTCCACTTCCCATCCAGCTCCCTGCTTGTGGCCTGGGAAAGCAGTCGAGGACGGTCCAAAGCCTTGGGACCCTGCACCCGGGTGGGAGACCTGGAGAAAGCTCCTGGCTCCTGACTTTGGATCACTGCAGCATCTGCCGTTGCAGCCGCTTGGGGAGTGAATCAGTGGACGGAAGATCTTCCTCTCTGGCTCTCCTCCTCTCTGTATATCTGACTTTGCAATAAAAATAAATTAATCTTTAAAAAAAGATACACAATTTTTTTTAATGAATCTTTAAAAAGAAAGCAGAGCATATTCACACACTTACATACACACAGAGGCATCTTGTATCAAATGCTTCGCTTCTCAAATGGCCTCAACAACTTGGCCCGGGCCAGGCTGAAACCAGGAGCCTGGAATTCCATCCAGTGGTCCCACGTGGGTGGCAGGGGTCCAAGTGTTTAGGCCACCTGCTGTTTTCCCAGGCAAAGTAGGAGAGAACTTACCAGAAGCAGAGGAGCCGGGTCTTGAACTGGCACTCTGATGTGGGAAGTTGCTGTAGCAAGCGCAGAACAACACGCTTTACCACAACACTGGCCCCAGCAGCTCGAGTTCTCGCACCAGTTTTCCTTGAGTCGAAGTCTATACTTTCATTCACATAGACTCTTTCATTGATGTTCTCTCTTTTCCCTCTCCCACCCGGCATGTGCATATGCACAGAAACAGACATGAACGTCAGATTGACAGTGAGGAGGAGAGGAAGAGAGAAAGATCTTCCATCCATTGATTTCATTCCCCAAGGGATCACAGTGGCCAGAGCTGAGCCAATCCGAAGCCAGAAGCCAGGAACCTCCTCCGGGTCTCCCACACGGGTGCAGGGTCCCAAAGCTTTGGGCCGTCCTCGACTGCCTTCCCAGGCCACAGGCAGGGAGCTGGATGGGAAGCGGGACTGCCAGGATTAGAACCTGTGCCCGTATGGGATGCCAGGCATGCATGGTGAGGCGTTTAGCCACTAGGCTTCCACACCAGATCCAATAATATATATATATATACATTTTTTTTTTAATGTACTAATTTGTTTGTTTGACAGACAGAGATAGAGAGCCCTCAACCCTCACACAGGGGTGCAGGAGCCTGGGGACTTGAGCCATCCTGCACTGCTTTTGCCAGTGGCATCCGCAGGGAGCTGGTTCACTCCTTTGAATGCCGGCTTTGCAGGCAGTGGTTGGACCCGCCGTGCCACAACAGCAGCCCCTCCGTGCACAGTTTTGAACAACAATCTCTAGAGCTGTTTCCTCTGGCAAAACTAAAAGTGTGAACGCACTGGGCTCTCGCCTACACACACGCTCCACACCTGCAGCTCAGACACTCTACTCCGCTTTCCGTTTCTGTGGTTTTAGCTGCTCCGGTTGCATCATGCAGGCGGACACACGTTAGAATTGTTCTTTTGTGACTGTTTCTCTTAGCAGAGTGTTCTCGAAGTTTCCTCCTGTTGTCCCACGAGTCCGAATCTCCTTCCACATTAATGCTGAGCAACGGTTCACATAGCACATTTTGCGTCGTCATCTGCCGTTTGGGATTTGGGAAAAGGGTGTCAAAGTCTGGTTACTCCCACCTTCCGTGCTGTGAACATAGAGGCAAAGAGCTCTTAAGACTCTGTGGGAAGCAGGATCCCGCGCCGTGAGCCTTCGCTGGGGAGCCTGGCCAGTGAGCTGGAGCCAGGCGTGAAGGCAGACAGCAACGGAAGGCCAGTGTTCCACCTGCCGGCCCCCCGGAGCCGTTTGCACCCATGGTTTGGACTTTGCCGTCCAAGTATCCTTAAAAACACTTCTTTTGAAGCAACGTCCTTCTCATGTGTCTTGTTCTTCCTCTTTTTAAGATTTATTTATTTATTTTTTTTGGAAAGTCAGATCTATAGAGAGGAGAGGAAGATGTTCGGTCCGCTGATTCACTCCCCAAGTGGCTGCAGAGACCAGAGCTGAACCGACCCGAAGCCAGGAGCCTGGAGCCCAGAGCCTCTTCCCACGCGTGGGTGCAGGGTCTCAAGGCTTTGGGACAGTCTCGACTGCTTTCCCAGGCCACAGGCAGGGAGCTGGATGGGAAATGGGGCCACTGGGACATGAACTGTTGTCCATGTGGGATCCTGGCGCGTGCAAGGCAAAGACTTAAGCTGCTGGGCTACCGCGCTGGGCCCTCTTTTTTTTTTTTTTTTTTAAGATTTATTTGTTTTGTTGGAAACTTACAGAGAGAAGGAGAGACAGAGAGAAAGAAAGATCCTCCCCAGGGTCCCAAGGCTTTGGGCCATCCTTGACTCCTTTCCAGGATCACAAACTGGGAGCTGGATGGAAACTAGAGCGGCCAGGATACAAACTGGTGCCCCTCTGGGATCCTAAGCCATGCAGAACGAGGACTTTAGCTACTAGGCTATTGCACTGGACCCAACCCTCTCTTGCAATAGAACTTGGGGATAACCTTACAGGCAAGGATGGAGAGGAGCCTGGTCGGAGTGCCCTGCTCTTCCTGGCCCTGGGAAAGCCCAGAGTGGCTACCCTGTGACCTGGTGGGTCCTTGACCCAGGTCTGCCCCTGAGACAGGATCGTGAACTAAACTTAACTCCACACTTGGCTTGGAGACTCTCCATGGCTTTGGACCCCCGCTCTCTGGCCCCGGTTGGTTGTCCCTTGGGGTCTTAGTTTCCTCATGTTCACAGAGCTGTTATGAAAATTCATTCAGAAAAAAAAAAGGCCACAGCCTCCCCCCCCGCCCATTGCTGTGGCATAGTGAGTAAAGTTGCTGCCCGTGACCCTGGCATGCCATGTGGGCACACGTTCTAATGCTAGCTGCTCCATTTCTGATCCAGCTCCCTGCTGAAGGTCTGGGAGGGCAGCAGAGGATGGGCCCAAAGGCCTGGGTCCCTGTACCCACATGGGATGGGCCCAAAGGCCTGGGTCCCTGCACCCACGAGGGATGGGCCCAAAGGCCTGGGTCCCTGCACCCACGTGGGATGGGCCCAAAGGCCTGGGTCCCTGCACCCACGTGGGAGACTAAGCAATAGCTCCTGGCTTCACACTGGCTCTG